CTGAAGCCCTAATATACATACAGCAAAGTTAACATTGAATTCCGTGCATCGCAGAGTGACAACTAGTTAACTCTAATGTTTTCTTCCAAAGGACCAGGTCAAAGAAATTGCAGTCAGTATAATGTTGGTGCAAATAAAATTGTGTCAACCCCATGAACAAAATTTTAAAGGGACGCAACAATTTCAGTTTATTGCTCTATATTCTTGCAAAACCTTCATGTCCACATGTAACTGACATCAAAATTAAAGAAAGCAAGTATGGCCTGTAAAAATTTGTAACAAAAGCCTGTCTACTAGACTCAGAGTCGTGCTATCATGCTTGTGATAGCCTCAACACTGTTACTCTACTAGAGTCAACCTGTGCCATCATGCCTCAACACTCTTACTTTTGGTATTTATAAATGAAGTATACAGGTGAAAGATCGTCACAGAATTACAGGTCAATAGGAATAACATAATCCTCACATAGTAGGTCATTGTCGAGTTTAAAATTATTGCTTTTGATATTTAGTGTTGTAATATTTATAAAGGTTAATACTTTCCCTAACTAGCCTATCTATATGTTTGTTTCTAGAGCCTAAATGTGCACAAATATGCAGGGCCCATACATGTGAAAATTCGGTGGCGTGCTATGGAAACCAAGAAGTCTCCAATAAGAAGCTGCTTCCTGCCTGGATGCATAATCAAGGATAATGGTAGGGCAACTAAATATTAGAGTTTCTCAATCTTGAGTTCTATTCTGCAATGCTATGGCATGTGTGAGTACCTCCCTCAAACACCTGAAATTCGGTGGCGTGATAGAGTTTATGGAGCCTACAGATTTACAAGGAGGAAAAAATGAATAAATGTTGGGAAGGTAAAGAAGTCGCCCATTAAAGGCCTGATTCAATACACAGCCTAAGATATTACAGTAGGAAACTCGAAAACGGTAGGTATGAAAATTGAAAAGATCCTTTCAATTGCCAACTCAACTTACTACTGAATAACTCAGAAAAACATAAAAGACATTTCAAGCTCCACTGGGAAAAAGGTCAAGTTAACTACGTTCAAAATTTTGCACTTGAACTGGAGATCTTTAACCCCCTCGTTCTCCATAAAACATGTGACCTTCATATGTTGTAACTTGCCTTGAAGTTGCAATTAACCTCTTACTAAACTTCATGGTCTTCATTCTCAATCCAAGTATCATTTCCTCAGCTATGCCTTTTTCCTTTATCCTTGCAAAAGCTTATATATTATCCTTCTTCTCGTATTAGACTCTAGTTTCTTATAATAAAATTCTAATAAGCAACTCACCTCACTGACCTTTTTTTTCCTGCCTAAAGCTTAAAATTCCTGATTTGCATCAAACTTATAATGAATAAAAAAGGATTTTACAGTATACCTCTTGAATTGCTGTATCTGAAGAAGCTGCAGTATTGGAATCCAAAAAAAGTGGTTTTCCAGATGTGTAAAAGTCCATAATTGCCGCAAAAATTTCAGGTTTCAGGTAATCCCATGAAGCCTCCTCAGACTTTGAAACCGTTACAAAATCAGACCCAAAGAACACTCTTGTAATTCCTTAAAAAGATTAAATATAATCATTGTTAGCAGCTTTCTTAAAGAAAAGTAGGAAGACAATACACAAGAAATACGAAGATCTATATCAACCAAGAAGACATGCAGCTTGCCTATTTTGGCATGTATCCCGCATACTTCATTTTTTAGAATTTTGATAGTCGGACACTCAAGACACTTGAAGGGCATTTCTCAAACACTAGCAATACTTCAAATTATAGAGCTGTGTTTCAGTGCAATATTGGAGGTCATGTATGTAAGTTGTCAATGGTAGCTTACATCAAAGAGACATATCTGACCAAATTAAGTTAATGGCTCATCAAACAAACGTGTCGTGGCTCATGTTACAAATTCTAGAAGGTTCCAACTTCCATGTTGAACAATCCAAGCATCTATGCAATTGCAGAGTTCTCACAATGTTATACAGCCTTTGAGGAGTACTAGATACATAATGGTTGGGTAAACGAGAAATCGCAGCCTCATGGCGAGAACACCAAAGTTTTTGTTCTCGATCCACATATTTGGTGATCAACAAATACAAAATTTTAGGATTATTGTGAGTTCAAAACGAACATGTGAAGCAGAGGACTGGAACATTCTCATAGTCTTCTTCTCTTTTTTTATTATCCCCACATACAAGAGCTAGAGTCATTCTAGGAAGGCTTAGTTTACCACTCCAGGATGTGTTTCAGAATTTAGGTTAAGTCGCATCTTTAAATGGAAAGAAGCTCATAAATAATAATTGTCAATACTACTTTGGGAACCAAATCTAGAAGTTATAACCAATATAATACTCCTGCTATTAGTTTGTTCTCAGTGAATAACTGTCTCTCCCAAATTTAGCTAACTGAGACTAGCATTGGTGACACTAAATCACCATGTGTTGTGTAAACACTTACAATTAGGCGAGGTACAAATTATTATCAATAGCAGCCTATGTTGCATGGGTACAGCTACAGGTACCAATACTGGTATGGGCATGGGACACGATAAATTTGGAAACGGCTATATAAAAATTATATACACATATATTATATATTAGAATTAATAATTTATATGAGAATAAGGATGAGAATTAAAGTTCCTATAACTTTTTTATATTTTTTTGTTATGTGGATCATAAATTGGAAAAATAACTAGTTTTGGAACTAGACATCCAAACGACCATTCAAAATCATAATTCGGAACAAGACATATGCCAACGAAGTTTCAAGAAGTGGATGTGAAGTGTTATACGTCCAAAAAAATTGTATGACAAGTGTTTAAAATTAAACATGTATTGTATAATTGAGTACATGCCTGAATAAATGTATGCATATATGCAATGAGTGTCCCAGGAGTTTTCGTACGGGTACGTGTAGAGTATGGGTACGGTTTCAGATTAGAAGTACCTACCCAGGTAACATAAATAGCCGCTAGTTGCAAGTAATAGGCATATGTAGCTGACAAATTACTCAATAAGTAACCCATCACGAAGGTCAATTTTGATAAGAATGGGAAGAACATTTGCCGAAAGAATGAAATTTGTTGGCTTTCTTGACGCATTTTCCGTTTCTCCTAGGTTTTCATTTCATTATAGTGATAGGCAGAATGTGTTTATCTAGTTTAAAAGATGAAAATGTAGAGATATTTTAAGCCAGGTCTACCAAGGAAATCAGAAATTTGAGAAGGAACAAAACAATTCTTCTAAAGAATCTTCTGTCACTTGCGAAATTTGTGGTTCTCAAGCACTATTTGATATGTCAGGAATTGTAAATGCATCAGCGGTGAGTAGTCATGTGATTTGGCAAGGAAGCAGATTATGACAACCACAAATACACTTCTATCCTTGTCAGATGATGCTTCCTTAGTTATAGTGTGACGCTCTAATTTGCATCTGGCATTCTGAATGTTCCATTGGTATCACTTGCTTACTTGGAGAAAGGGTTCAATGGTTCACCAGAATTCAAAAAGAGGTCAAAAGTCAGGTATATATTTCTTTCTTGTAGTTGCATCATTATAGTACGGCTATTGTGCTTGAAGTCATGGAAGAATTTATTATCAAATATACAACCTTTTGGGTTCTCATCATATGTTTTCTCTATTTCGACAACACTCTTTTATTTTCTCTCATTCCTTTCTTCTTGTTGAAAATATTTAGAATTACAGAATGAAAGACTAACCAATTTGCAGTCAAGGAAGTTGATAATAGGCCTTTGGAGAAATAAAAGCGCCTTGAAGGGTAAAATTTATGTATAGAAGTGTATTTTGTTAGTGGTGTTGGTGTGGTCGTTGGAGTATGCGTCTATGGAGTGGGGAACCACAGGTAATAGGATATATGGGAGGCTATGTTCTAATAATTTGATAAAGGAGATATAATAATGTCTGATACTTGGATGTTCAAATAACTGCTGTTAGTGAAAGTTAGCAAGTGTCCTGTTTTTATTTAAATGTTTGCAACATGACTTTTGAGCTGAAAAGTTATGAATGTGCATATTTTAAACTTGTTAATGCGCCATAGACACCATTGGAGTTTTATGTTTATGTCAAAGTTAATAAAAATTTTCTCTAATAAAATAGTTTAAGTTAGTTTCTTGTAGAACCCCTAATTGTTCCCGGTACTTTTACAAAATTTACCAAAATAATAAATCATAGACAAGTAGTGAGTCTAGAAGAAGATCTTGCTAAACAAACTAAATCAACGAGTGAAATACAAGGGCAAAGGATGCAGCATAAAATAAGGACTGTTACCTAACCAACAAAGATATTACTAGCACGGAGGCCTTTCACAACAACAAGGAGATATTCTACTACATAGGAAAATCTCCCAATAAACAACAACTAAGTTGAACGGATCAAAAGTATCATTCTAAGCTAATAATTGGAGGCTTCAAAAGCCAAATCAAAATCATACCATCAATTCCAAATAATGCCTTGGCTAGTGGTGAATTCATGGCCGCTCGGGCATTTGGAAAATCCGCACTACCAACCTCCATAACAGGCTTCCCGGGATAAAACATTAGAGACAATGGATTGGGAGTTGATTGGGTCTGAATGAACATGCTCCTCCTCTGTACTGTTCAATCAAACCATACAAAAACTTCAAAAATTAACAAAAAATACAAATTAGGGTTGTGCAACGATTGCAACTTTAGTGAAATCATAAAATGAAAGGAAACTAGGAAATGGGTCGTCATTCATTTCAACAAACAAGTTGGGTGCACTTAAATTTGGGCAACTCTTTAAACTTTTATTCGATAATGAACGGACCATCCACTAAACTAACAATTGAGTTTTTCAGTCGTTTCAGCAAACAGGTTGCGTGCACTAAAATCTGGGTAACTTTCGGCGATAGATAAAAATAATATTTTTTGGCGATGAATTTCACCTCCAAAAGCGATCCATGGACTCGAGATCGATGTTGGGGTTTTGAGTGGATTTCGAGAAGCAAAAGGCGTCGAGTTTCGAAGAGAGGAGAAGATCGCTGAGGACGAAAGGAAACGAGGAGAACGGAGTAGAGATTTGCACGTATTTTCTCCAATCGAACTCGCTGAAATTTTCCTTGACGAGAGAAATCTTCGAACTCCCCTCATCTTGTTTCCGCTTTGTTTCTTTGGAATTTTTGATCGATTTGTTCTCAAAACTTTCGAAGCGAAAAACAAATAAAACCAATTTTCTGTGCCACCGCCCTTCTAAATGCTGTTGGGCTTTAATATGGCCGTTGTTATGAGTTCAGGCCCATGCTTAGAGGCCTGATTTATTTAGAGAAGCCCCATAGTTGTTCGCCTTATAGCTGAGCCGCAGGCCCGCAGCCATGGAGGGTAAATTTCAAAACAACCCCCAAAACTTTGGGGCGTTTGCCGAAAAACCCCACGGATTTTGTTTTTTTCCCTCAAAACCCCCAAAACATGAAAGAAAGTGTCCCGATTAGCCCCCATAATTTTCAATTTTCCCATTACCCCACGCTCCACCCCCTCCGAAAAGTAGATAAAACAATGAAAGGGCAAATTTGAGTGGACAATACGGACCTTCAATTGCGACAATTTTCGGTTATATGGTTAACTTTATGTGGGTCATAAGAGATTTGAGCTCCCTCTCCTAAACAAGCTAGCTTTTAGAAGTGAGTTCTTATGAATCCCTTGCAAAAGGTATTAGAGCCAACTTCATCCTTCTGGTTGCAATCGATGTCAGCAGGGGGTGCCTAATAAAGCCAAGCTCGGCCAAAACTTTTGACAAATGAAAAGAAAACAAAAAAAGGTGGCCCCACAGCATAGTAAAATATTAATATTTTATTGTGCATAGTGTTTTTCCAAACCCTATAAATAGGCTCCAAATGCTCAAGGAAAAAATCATCCCAGAAACAACTCCTCGTATAGAAGAGAGAGAGAGAGAAAAAAAAATAGAGAGAGAGTATCTCCTTGTAAAGAGAAATTGTAACTCTAGAGTTATCTCCTCATAGTGGATTCTTCTATCCTTGCTCGTGGACGTAGGCAATTTTATGCCGAACCACGTAAATCCGTGTGTCTATCGTTTTATCTTTACTTTTGTTCTACTATTGCTGCGGCCCTGCTCTATTGGACCTCGGGTTTGTCCCAACATCGAGTGGCGTAGATGGTGACGCTCGTATTACAATTTTCACCCGAGATTAGTTTATTGCAAAATCAAAATGGTGGTGTCAGAATTGCAGTGTTCAACCGGGACGAGAGTAGTACAAAGCCTACCCGCGTGACGCCGGAGATCAGAAGTGTGGTGGCTTGTTAGGGTCTATCTAGCTTCACATCAGTTATATAGGTAACTTCACACGAGTTTATAAAGAATTTGGGTGCTCTCCCTCCCTGTACAAGCTAGCGATCGGTTCATCAGTTTATTCATTTCAGATCAATTCGAGCTCGACCGTGGTTTGCTTATTAAGTTCAATCGAATCTAATTTTATCCACCGCGAGGATCGATCCCACAGCTCCTTCACGGGGTTGGGCTTTGGTTAGTTCTGCATCCGCATGGTTACGGATCCGGATCCGGATCCAATAGATAATGTTATCCGATTGATAAGAAGCGTGTCTTATGCTCCTTCGTTTTGGACACATGATGAGCAGAAGAATGCAGTAGGAGTCACTAAAGCCACCTCAGAATTCCACGTCGGACCAACCAACCTCAATTTTGGCGGCCGCCTCCCCCACTCGTTTCTTCTCCAACAATTTGACGATTTGAAACAACACCTAATGGCTAGTCCAAAATCACACGAATGCTACTTTTGTCCAAATGCTCTCTCCACCAAAGAGAAGCCTTTGTCAACTTCCGAACTAACCCAAAAAAAAAAAGAGAAAAAGAGAAAACTTTTTACAAAAGAAAAAATAGAAAGGAAAAAAGTATATTAATCAATGGATTAATTACCGATACAAAATAGAAGACGTCTCTGTAACATATTAACATCACATAAATCACTACCGTGTAATCTACTCTAATACTATTATAAAAGTGGATTGTCATATTAAAACATTTCTATCCAAAATGCCCTCCAGTACATTCATTCATACATACGTGCTCAATTTTTTATAACCTCCCCAGTGCTTGCACATCCATGCATACATACATGAAGGCATACATGCTCAATTTTTCATAACCTCCCAATTGATTGTCATCAATTTTTCAATTAATCACCCACTCATAACACTCATCCACTAACTCATGGTACACTAACATAACTTTATGTGCACTAATGATAAAAAAATGTTACAACTATTCCTCTCCTGTCAAATCACTATAAATAACAAGAAACTTTTATCAATTTTATCCAATCAACATTCCAATTCGCAATTAAAATTTAGATTGAGAAGAAAAGAGCCAAATCTAGCTCTCTTTGTTACTTGCGACTTTGGCATTTTCGAGCTTTCTCTATGATCTTTATAATTTTCATGTTCTTTTCTTGATCAACATTGCTACAGACTAAGATCTAAGGTGTTCAATTAATTTTTGACTTTTTTTTGGAGATGATGTAAAAAAAAGTGATTCATTTAATAAATAATAATTAAAGTTTCTATATATTTTCGCATTCTATTTTGTTCTTGTTGATGTTCAAATCACACAGAATAATCCAGAATAGGATGATTGGCGGAGTGATGAAAGATGATGGAGATGATCGCTTCCTTCCTCGACTTTATGTCTTGGCCACTGAGTTAGAGTGAACGATCTGCATAGAAGAAGGTCCTGAGAGGGCGGGATGGTGATTCCCCCATGGTACCTCTGACGATAAAGTCAGTTGATGAAGTTAAACTTGAGTGGCGTAATAGAACTGTGTGTTCTTATGATATGTGCATTAGAGATAATAATCTCTGAGATTGATGTCAGAAGGAGAGTTTAGATTGTGAACATGCCCCCCTTTGGCTATGGCGAATAGCATCTGTATATAAAGATGATGTCAATGGTAGCTAGATTGGTCATTTCATGAGTGTACAGCAAGACGACGGTGAGGGGTGACCTGGAAGTTGAGTCATCCTTTGCTCTGCACGTGTCGGCTGGTGACAGGAGGAAGATCACTTCAGCCTCGATTTGAGGAGCGATCGATGGGACGTGGGCTGATAAGCGACGTGATGACGCATTGTTTTTGAGTAGACATGTCATGACTTGTTGTTAGGATGGATAATCTTTGGTGAAGTTATCTTCTAGCTTCGCTGAGAAGCAATGTCCCTCATGATAGGACTCGTGAGGAGAGTTGACTCGAGGAGATGCTAGCTGAATGGAGTCGGGTGACGACTCGTCCCGCCTTTCGAGTCGACATGGAGGAGTATCAATTCGACTGGGTCGACTAGGCTCTTGGTGATTTACCTGCTGTGAGAGGGCCGATTGATATCGCCTTTCGTGTCAACATTGATGAATGTCGACTCGTCTGGTTGACTGAGCTAGACTGCTAGCTGATCTTTGGCTATCTCTCCCGTCGGCTGAGATGCCGACTCGTCTGGGAAGTCAGGAAGTCTCGTGCCGATTAGCACCGCTTCTCATGTCGGCACTGGGGTGTCAGCTTGTCTGGCTGGATGGAGATGGCGATTCATCAGATCATATATTTGGAAACAGTTGTACCCCATAACAGTTCTCAAACTATAATCGTGCGACATTTTATTAACTATGAAGTTTTTAGTCAGTCTTTACATGATTACGTGCATTGAATTAAAGAGTATAAAAAATAAAGAGTATATTGATAATTTTACAAGGTCGCAAATCTATTCATCTTTTTTATCTTTTTTTTAATATTGATTAGAAGAATTTGATTTGGTGTTTACTCTTTGAAACTGAATGTTGATTTGATTGACGAAGAATGATTTGATCTCTTGCATTGCGATCTATTTTAGCTTCTTAGTTCTTATATCATAACATTTTTATTGAAATTTATGAACCTAAAAGTAGATATTAGTTCGGTAAAATTATGCTAAAATTTATTAATTATAAATATTGAGTCAATAAACTAACATTTCAAAAACAAATTAGAATAAGTTATTTGCTAAGTAAGAAATTTTTGAACTTGAGTTAGTAGGTTTATTATAAAAAAAAACTTCTCTTCTATGTCAATGTTGTTTACTGCAATCCATTAAACTATTGCAAACGTCGATCTAGATCAATAACTAGGTAATGAGATGATAGATATATATATATAAGACTATTTTTTCACATATATCTACTCATAACATAAGTTTTTTGGCACAATATCAAGTCAATAATACTTTGATTACTAAATTGGTTGTTACTTTAGTAAAATTATGCGAATAATGAATTAATAATAAAATTTGAAACCTTAAAGTATCATCTCAAAAGGCTAACGAATGACATGGCCATGGGAGGTAAAGAATTAGACCATACATCTCTTTAGATTTATCAAAACAAATTATTAGCTAACTAAGATATCTTAACCCGTGTTATAAGTTTCTTTTTTACCAATGTTGTTTCTTACAAACAATTAAATCATAGCTCAACTTTAATTTAGATCAAGAACAAGGTAATGAAGGAGAAATATATATATCTTAAGGATACCACTTTTTTCTTTAAATTTTCTAAATTGAGTTAATTTTTTAGGGTTAAGACCAAATTACCCTTGGCTGAAATTAACCTCCTCCCATTGTAAAAAGGTAGGTAAAAATATAAATAAAAATTCAATTAGAGAAAACAAAGTCATAATTGACATGTGAGTAGAACATGCGAATACTCAGACATTCAAGTAACATAATATACTAATTTGCCATGTTTAAACAAGCTGGGTATGTAAGTGCAAACTTTTACAATTTGGGGTGTATAAGATTAAGGAAGATGAAAATATAAGGTATTTAAGTATTTTTTTAGCCTTTTAGAAAACCCCTTAAATTTGGTCATTTCTTAGATAAAACCATTAACTTGCAAAATGTCATAACCTCCCCCCCACCCACCCACACACACACAAAAAGATCTTTGGCGATCTCAATCCCCTTAAACTTTCAACAATTTTCAAAAAATCCTTCTTAATGGTAATAATCCTTACTTTGTACTTTTTCACATATGAGTAAAATTATGCAGGTTGATATTTTGCCAATGAAAACTATGTTTCACGCTTTTAGGGTTTGAATGTGGTTTTCTGAGAACCTTTAAAGTTAAAGAGTTTTGTGACATTTTTAAAATTTGAGGGCTTTATCACGAGGCATTTGTGAAATT